ACGCCAGTGACAGTGAATTGAGATCTTCCTGAGCGCTAAACTGTGGCGAATCGTCGCTAAAGAATATCCATTTCTGATGTCTGGGTCTAACGGCTGGCGGTTTATGTGTCGGCAAATGTCGAGCACTGAACACAATGGCATCGCTTTTATCCAATAATGACTTATTTGTCACAAACACACATTTATTAGTCACACATTTTCCGTCAATGAATGCCTGATTGCCTTCTTTTACTGATTCATCAATCGGTGTCCACAACAGAATTGTCTTAAACTCTTTTCCGTTTGTCATTTCTCCAGAATTTCTTGTTTGCATAATGGGGTCAATTGTCCCACTATTTACCTGTGGTTCCGGCGCTTTGGCTTCATTTTGGTTCATTTCAATTGGCTTTTCATTTAAGTTTTGATTAGTTTCTGCGCTATTCTTAGAAAAGTCATCTTTCTTTTCAATTGGCTCTTCTTTGGGTTCTTGTTTAGGCTCTTCTTTACGCTCTGTTTCTGGCATTTGATTCATGAATTGCCTTTCAATGTCTTCGTTGTGATGCGGATTCATGTGTTCGGGATTGTAGTCCGGATTGTGTTCGGGATTCATCTCTTCAGCTCTATCCTCAAATGGATTCGCATGTCTTCGCCGTCTGTGTGGGGGCTCGCGATGCCTATTATTCAATCGCTCGATATCTAGATATTAACAAAAATTAATTAATTTACACAAAAACTAATTTGTAAAATACAGACGCTCTCGAATGGCATCTCCCGGATCGTAATGTCCTCGCGATCTGTCGTGAAAGTTAGGTCTACCGTCCCGTCCGGGGAATCCCTGTCCCGGATAGCCTCCACCATAACCTCCCGGCACCCCATTTTGATAACCTCCCGGATATGCGCCGGGAAATTGACCGGGAATTCCCGATATGGGAACTCCCATATGATTGAATTGGATGTTTGAGTTGTCGTCTGATTTAAATTTACTGCTATTATTGAAGAGGTAAAGACCGGACGGAATCATGA